GCCCCCAACTATTTTTGGATGATAAACATTTGTATCAGGTCAACTAAACACGGGCATAGTAACTATTATTTATACTACATTTGTCCATTTTAAATATACTAACCTCACTTCTTTGTAACAACTAAGGCAAAAAAAGTAATTAATTCAGAAAATCTTTTCAGGACTCCATCTTGATGTTTCGGGACCCCACTTTGGGTCCCGACCCCAACTTTGGGAAACACTGTACTTGTAGGTACTAATATAAATAAATGTAATTCATGTCCAAGGACCATGTGTAATAAGGTTAAGTGCAGTCCACAATTAAAAATGAAAGTTCTCTTTCATATGTTGGTAGCTAACCTATTCTGCATTTATTGTTGCCTCAAGCTTCATCTGAACTCTTACTGACCCAAGTTAAATAAATCCACTCAATATTTTCAGTCTTGATAGGATTAATTTATATTGTGAGTGTGCATTCATAGTCACAATTTGTGACTTTAAACGCACCCCCCCCCCCCACACACACACACACACTTCAAAATAAACTGAACCTTAATAACTAGCCTCATGATTATAAAATGGTGGCAGAGAGCACAATCTGCATAGTTTCATCTCAAATTCCCTTGGAAGGTTTTTTAACATTATTGCTTAAAAGTATTATTGGACAATAGGCAGAATTTTCTTTTTCTTGCTGCCTATTTTCATTTGTTATATTTTTCTTGTATATAGAATTATTTTAACTGAGGAAATAAATAGAATTCCTGTGGAAACAGTTAACTTTATACAATCTGCCAATGTGGTTATCTGCATGATATGAAAAAGGAGCATTGATCCTGCACAGGTGAATAAATAAACTGCGCTATTCGGTACACTTAAAGTGGGCTTTTTGGAACAAGTAATTTAATAGTAACATATTTTAGTTTAATACAAGTTGTACCAAAGTATTTTTAAAGATATGAAGTATAAGTACTGTTTTAAAACAGTGGAACAATTGCAAGTATTCTTCAAGTATCAAGTGTATTTTTAACAATGCTAAAAATTGAAAATCTTATAATTCCATGAAATGTAGACTACAATAAGTATTTTACATCTGGGCATGATGTCAGTAGAAAACAATTGTTCTACCATTACATACAACAGAGGAGAACAGCTCTTAGTGAAGGTGTGCGGCCCTGAAAAGGGCCTTTTAGTTTATTGAAGCGGGTCCAGTTTAACCTCCGAAGCCGTACAGAGTACGACCCTGTCTCTTGAGAGCGTASACCACATCCATGGCGGTGACGGTCTTCCTCTTGGCGTGCTCGGTGTAGGTGACGGCATCACGGATGACGTTCTCCAGGAAGACCTTCAACACACCGCGGGTCTCCTCGTAGATCAGGCCGGAGATCCGCTTGACTCCACCGCGGCGAGCCAGACGGCGGATGGCGGGCTTGGTGATGCCCTGGATGTTATCACGGAGAACTTTACGGTGACGCTTAGCGCCTCCTTTCCCCAGACCTTTACCTCCTTTTCCTCTTCCAGACATCTTGTTTCAGTTCTCAAAAACACGTTTTGAATGTCTGAAGTCAGACTGACTGATATTTATGTCAGAGCAGAGGACGTGTTTGAGGACAGGGGAGGGTCAGAGTTTCTTCGTCCCTCATGACTCATAAATAACTTGGCGCTTTTTGGCTCCACCAAGT